CTACCATCTCAAGTATTTTTCTACTTTGAGTACTAATTTATTTGATACTTAGAAAAGTAATTTAAAACAGAGCTATTTTGAATGAGGGAAGTATTTACCATCCTTGCCAAATGAAGAAATATATTACTGAATTTAGGCTTTTCCACTGTGTTAAAATGATGCTTTAAAGAAATAAACCCTACCTTCTTTTATATGATAGGGCAGTCCATTTTTGCAGTATCTGTATTTTCAGATAGATTGGAGTTATGGACCTCTTTTAAAGTTATAAGTTTTCTCTATTAACACATTTATGCTATTGGTCCTCTTTTAAACATTTTCTTCTGGTTATATAGTTAACAGTGGTTTCCTCATCCAGTAGTGTAGCATTTTATTAATGCTCACTTCTTCCTCACTTGTTACTTTCCAGAGACAGTAAATTTACAAAACTCGGTAAGTTACAATTGTTATAATTTATATATTTTGATTATGGCATATGAAATGTCAATAATGAAACAGTATTCTGAAGAGTTTCAAAGGAGCTGTTAGATTCATGACTGTAGGAGAAAAGGGACATACGCTCCAGAGTGAAATTAGGGATGCCTTCTGTAGCTGGACATTCTTTATGACAAGTTCTGATTTAGTCCTATCGCAGACAAATAAATGTTTGTTGTCAACTATAGCAACTTAAACTGCAAATATACATAAGGGTATATATTTTTATGCCATTCTCTGAATACATTAGGAAGGCCCGTTCCTAAAATATTCTACTCATTACCAATCTGTAATCTCTTCCCTTAATGTACTTCATGCATAGATCTTGGCATACCTTTTATTTTCTATCACTTTGTTTCTTTTGCAAGGTGCTTCACAACATATAATCATCTGAACTAGCGGTTAGAAAGGAAGATTGGTGATTGACTAGACCTTGTTCTTTAGATATTTCTATCCTGTACACATTGTAGATGTGGCATGGTAATGAGCGCCTGTGATTTTTAGTACTCCCATGGTGGTCAATAAGTCACATCCTTTTTTGAATGTCTCCAGTTCTTTGAATGAACTTCAGCCACTAGAGGTTTTATGAACCACAGTGGATGTACACAGATGTTCCTATTTCTATAGTTGACTGACTCCTTGGCCTAAAACTAAAGGAGGTCAAGATTGCTATTCTAGCCAATTCTTTCTCCCCTCATTTATTCCTAACATGTCATTAGATGTTTCTTAGCTCATAATAGTAAGTTACGAGTGTTCTCTTGGGATTAGATGTACTGGGGTAGGATTGCATGTATCATGGAACAAAGTCTGAAATGTGGCAAGGGCAGGTATTTCATCAGGGCCCATATGCTGAACGTAACTTGTTTTTGTTGATAGCTAAGACTGCTTTCAGCAACAGAAGTCTGTGAACTCCTGTGTCTCCATTTCAGTAACAGTAAGAAATTGTAAAGATGAAAATTAATTGGCTACTGATCTTTCAGAGCCTTGTAGTTACAGTTCTTAAACCCCAGGTAGTTCTTACTTACTGCTAACATTGTTAAGGGTTGATAGCACTACCTTTCACAGAGAGTATAAGAACATGCTGTATGAGCTAGCCAGTTTCCATGTGTCTACTTGTAACAGACTTCATATCATGAGACTCCAGTCAGGCTCTTGTGTTTAATAATGTCCCCTTTTTTGAGATTCAGTACTGCTCTGTGAAACCGGTTTACATTTCTACCAAAGGACAGTGGTTTCTGCAGTGTTTCTTGTTGGACTGATTGGATGGATTGTTTGATTTATGCATGTTGACATCCTAGGTTGTGTGTGACTTTCCTCCAAGCAAACAGGTAACTGCTTGTTAATCACAAACATAGACTCTTCAAAAAATTTTACATTTAACGAATAAAATGTTTGTCAAACTCTGTTTCTTGAAGAAGCTTTCCTTGTGATTCTGCAGTCTAGTTACCTTGTTATAAATTATGAAGGTCTCTTCTGGGGCATTGCCTTTGCATTAACGGAGTTGGTCTCACAAACTGTCATCTGTTTGGAAGACCAGGAAAGCTGCAGCCTCACTGTTCTTCCAGTGGACTTGGAAGAGGAAGGGTGTGCAAGCATGAAAAGTTTAAAGCTGAACTGAAACATACGTACTACAACTGTTTTTTTGTGGGATTATTATGCTTCTAATTATGTTCTACTTATTTTTTTATTTTAAAAAAAGTGTGTGTAGTGCATTATTCTTTTTATCCTCAGATTTGTTGTGAACTTTTCAGTGAGTGCTAGAAGATACTACGAAGTCAAATTGTACATGAGAACTCTATGCTACTGGGATTTTTATGTGTATATGTGTGATCTTTCTGCTTTTTTAGGGACATGTGCAAGTGCAGAATTTTTAAAGTTTTGGTGTTATTAAGTTATCTAATTTGCTAGATATCTAGTATGCTTTGGGAAGCTGTGGCTGGAGTGAAAAAAAAACACAAGGAAAAAACCTTTTGAAGTAATTAGCTCTACAGTTTAGAATTAATGGTACTTTTTTATTATCTGACTTACATAGTGTTTTGACTTTTAATTCAGTTACCATGATGTTGCTAAGTGAGATTATATTTTTTTCAGGTTAAGCGGGAAATCAGCAGAAAGTAGAAATACCAGATAATGTCTTATATTTGTTCACCCATTCTTACAGGAGTGTTCAGTATGTCTTGAAATTTACGAAGTTGTATAGATGGAAGCTTAACTCTGATTCTCTAGTAAAAATGGAGGTTAGTTAATAAGAGAGTACAGTAGTATGGAAAAAAAATATATATACATTTTTTTACATGATCTAAGTGACAGATGCATTATTATATATAAAAAACCAATATCTTTGAGAGAGGTCAGCTAACGCATTAGAATCTTTCCACATATTTTCCCCTTGTATTTAAATGTGAACTTGTGAAGTTCCTAATACATAATTTTAAGTTTAAAAAAGATGACATACTGTTGCCCAATTCATAGGTGAACATAAAATATTACTTGGAATGAAAACAGGAAAAGATGCAAGTACTTTAAAACGTTTACACTGATATTTAACTGATATTTTCACTGTATCTTTAAATGTTGGGGGACAGTTTTGGAGCTTACAAGGATCTCTATTTTTGTTAAAAATCACAAAGCAGTTTCTAATGGATGTTTTACAGAAGAGTAATTTTCTGTGCAACATTAAGTTGATTTATAATGGGTTTAGGTGATGAATTTCTTTATTTGTAAGGTCATCTTGATACTTTATCATGTTACTAGAGGCACTATAATGCACACTCAAAAAAAGTTTTCATGTATCATAGTTATTTCATGAAGGTTTGGGTTTTCCAGGGTTTTTTTGTGTTTTGTTTTGTTTTTAAGTAAAATGTTTGAAGATTTAATGAAACATTGTGAAAATATGTGTGTGCTCGTTGGCCACCAGTTCATTTTCTGGAGCAGTTTGTTCTTAGTCTTTTAGTAGTACTGAATTGTAACACTGGAGAAAAATACCAGTAGTCTGTCAGTGGGTACTTCACTGTACAATTTTACTTCACCCCTTTTAAAGTAATAGTGATTATACTAAATATAGGTTTTCTTATTCATAGCTGCTTGAATATTATTTTGACTTTTTATTGACTATATTCTTCTAAAATGATGTTAATGTATAATGCTGTTTGATTTCATCCCATGCCATTCTTCTGCTTCCCTGATAGGTGCTGAGTCAATGATACAGTATCATTTTGTCTTGAATGAGAATAGGTGATGAATTGAACAGTCAGTTATTTTAAAGAAAGTCGGATAAAATGACGGGGTTCATCTACCATTTTCTACTGAATATATTTTCTTGCAAGGTTTTGATTGTAAGGGAAGGAAGGATTTCCCATGCTGGTTAGGTACTTGATTATTTCACATCTTGCTTCTAAAATTTAATCTTTACCAATAATTGTGCTTCTAGATTTCAGCTTCCGATTCAACACATATTCCTTCGGTGGCAATGTTGGCTTAAGTGTGTCTGGCTGACTGTTCCATCCTGCCGTGTCTTTTACATTGTGCCAACATGGCAATCGTTTACAGAATTTCCTCCCTCTGGCATAGTCAGGAGAAAGCAAAAGGATGGATGTTAAATGTGGAACATGCTAAACTTTCATTAGCAAACAAAACCAAATTGTACTTTAGTCTGTCCTCCACTGTTAAGAGAACAGTGAAGATACAGGTAGACTACAAACCAATTAAATGCCATGACAGACATATGAAACAAGAGTTGCGAGGTGCAAGATCTGTCCTGGTTAGAGACAGATTCTGTGTCTGTGGAATTTGACGTTTTTCAGGATGTTACGCTATCTAATACTTTGGCCATAGGGTTTGCCGTTCTCCTGCAACTTGACACCAAGTATTTTGTTTGTCTCTTGATTTGCAGTTGCTTCTTGCAGTCTGATTTCACCTACCCAAAAAGGAGTTAATACACGTTGCAGTGCTGGCTACCTATAGCTCGATGAAACTCAGCGGTGGGAGTCAGAAAGCTGAGTTGAAGTACTGTGTGTGTTGGAAGAAGGGTGGAAGTTAAAAATGTAGGCTAGTGAGCGAAGCAGTTTGTAGGAAGACATAGAGGCCAGAGAAGATGAGCTGCTGAGGCTGAGCACTAGCTTTTTTTTTCTTTTGGTACAGTCAGTCATGAAAGTTGCCATGAACAATCTTGAAAGGCAGAACTTGTGCACTTTTCTGACTTTTATGAAATCCATACACAAAATCTGTATCTTTGAAAATAACCCCTGTCAAATTCCAATTGAGTTATGATGCATAGGTGAAAATGGTAGAAAAGGAATGTTAAGAATACTTAGGAATAAACAGTTAATTAATAATTTACCACAATGAAATGGGAAGAAGCACATCATCTAGGTGAGGATGATTTCTGTGTTCATTGTGTATGAAAACTCTTGAGTATGTTAAAATGGTGAAACTATTAGTGTTTATGAGCTCTGTAAGCTAGGAGATGGAGGCTGAGGTAAATATTTTCAAGCCATTAACTGCATTAAAAACTCACACTGTCTTTGCAGGAGGAGAGACTTCAGCATGCAAACCTTCATCTGTTCGGCTTGCACCATCGTTTTCATTCCATGCTGCTGGCCTTCAGATGGCTGGACAGATGTCCCATTCACATCAGCAGTACAGTGATCGTCGGCAGCAGAACATAAATGACCAACAGGTTTCTGCCTTATCATATGCTGACCAGATTCAGCAACCTCTAACATTAACAAACCAGGTAAGTGATAACAAAGAAGTCATTTTAGATGCAATAATTCTTTCTCTAATATTTTACATACTCATAAATTACAGGATTGGAACATATGTTTTAGTGTTTTCTTTGGTTTTGACTTTTTTTTTTTTTAAACTAATTAACTCCTGACTCTTCAGGACGGGTGAATGCATAAGTTTCTGGAAGTTGGTTTTAAACATCTGGTACATATTTATTATGATTATTCTACTTCTAACATTTTTGAAATGAGAGCGGAGAAAGATTGTCCAAGTGGAGAGTTGGAAAGAGAGTTTAATAATAGCTTTTTCTTTTTAGGGCTGTTTGATGTTAGTATGTGATGGCTTTATTACTTATTTTAATGGACGGTGTTTTAATGCAGGGCCACTGGTTAGTGTATTTGGAATAGAGAGGTTTGCACGAAAGATGTTTTATTAAGGAAGATACGTTTGTTTTTTTTTTTTTTAAAAAAAGGCACAATTAAAGCTATGCTATCATTGGGGTTTTACTACTACTAATTTACTACTTACCGTTGCAAGGAGGTAAAATGAACACAGGGATTATGATGATAACGGATGCTTTTGAGCTGTCAGGATCACTGTTTCTTCTATAGTGCTTCTGAGTTGCTAGAACTGCTGAAGTAGCTTCCTAACTAATAGTGCTAGGTTGCTAGCCACAAGAGCTACTATTGCCCTGTGTAAGAGAGAATTCTGTTGCTTTCTTAAAAATTACACAGCCCAGTTGTAGAGACCTGAACACCAACAGGTTTCAAAGGTTAAAATCCAGAAGTTTAAGTCAGAGCTTCAAAATTCAGTGCAGGCTGGTGAGGCATGCTCCATTTAAAGAGGATGGAGAGTGAAGTCTTTTGTTGCTGCCAGATTCTTGTGTTCAAGATGGTTTCAGTAGAAGAAACTACGGTACCATCAAGAAATACTTTGTTGGTACTGCTCTGTAGGAAGGCACTTAATGCAGGAAGAGGGAAGGATTAGGGAGGATGAGAATGGTCAAACTAAGTGCCAGGATATTTGATACTAGAATTTGGAGATGTGTAATGACTAGGGCTCTGTGAAGAATGGCAAAGTGAATGGAGCTGGCAAAGGATGTTTCTACTTTCACGAGAGCTGCTCAGTAGGAAGAGTAAATCTGCTCACATAAAATAGTATTTAGCTTGAGAAATCTACAAAGGTATTTTATGTGACACTTTTTTAGGTTAGAAGTCCCACAAAATCTCCACAATGAGAGGTTAGTGAATCAGTCTGGCAATTAAGAAAAGTTGCTGTGTTCCTTAAACCTTTCAAGGTAGTTATCTAAGCATTAGGATCTGGCATCGCATTTGTGAGCTTTTATGTACATTACTGCTTAGTTGTTATTGTTTTCAAACCAAAAAGCAGAATCAAGGAACTTCAGGGATGTATCGCCATCCGTTGCTCTTTGTGGTCACAATGGCTTTAAAATGGTAGCTGAATAATAGAAAGCTGAAGAATAGTTTTCGGAGAATAGCCAAGAATTGTTGACCAAAGAATGCAGCTCACTGAGATGAGGATGTAAATATAGGGAAAAAGCTGTGGTTGGCTCCAGGAAGTTATGCATATAAAGAAATGACCAGCTGGCCACCTTGATAATGGCAATCAAGCTGTCTTTGCACCACTAACACAATTTTATAGAATCAGTGTTTTTATTTTTCCAGTTCCCATCTTGTTCTGCATTGTAGCTTCTGTCTTCCTCTTTTACTGTAATTGTGTTGTTGAAGTCTTTATAGTCCTCTGCCTAAGCAGCTCAGAATTTTTACTCCTTTATCCTTTGTGAGCTGCTTTCAGCACCCCTGGCTTTGATGGCGGACAACTTTTTAAAGTCTTCTGACTACTTGCTTTTCATGACCCTTTCCTCAAGTTCTTGTGCTTCTCCCATCAACAAGTCCCATAGAGTTCTCACCAGATTCCAGGTTGATATGGAGGTTGTATATGAGCCTGTGCTGGGGACTCTCAATGTCTTTTTTTTGCCATTGCGCTGCACTTCTGGCTAATCTTACCCGCAAAACCAAATCCAGCTTACATCTTTATGCTAGTGAGTCAGATCATCTGCTCTAGACCTTGTCTCTGTCAAAAAAAATTACTTGTTCTTTCTCTTTCAATAGCTCTTTTGTCAGCTCTAGTTCATCTTATTAAAACATAACAACATAACTCACTCTTTTTTTTTTTTTTTTTTTTTTTTTTTTTTTTTTTTCCTTATAAAAGTCATGACACTCTATTATTGAAGGCTTTGTGCTGTCTTACCTTTCTCCATTGCTGTGGACTACCATCTTGCCTTTCACTCCAAATGTAATCTGCATACCATCTAGGTTTTCATGTCTAAATGATACATACATTTTACAGATTCTTTCTTTATGATATTTCTGCAGGAATCCTTTTTATTCAAGGTATTACCTTGAATATGCTGCAACTTGTTTCTCACTGTCCTTGATAAAAGCAGTTCTGTCCTGTATATGTCAATTCCGAAAAACTCTTGCTGAGATCATTTTCTGAACCGTCCTTGTGCATTTTTTTCTTTTCTCTGTTGGAATCCTACCTACTCATTCTTTCTGTTGTTATCTGCTGGTCTGTTAATAAAGCTTCTAACACCAGACTAACCTTTTAGTAATGGCATACTCTCTTCAGTCACGTAAGGTGATATATGTTTTCAAGTACATATGGTTAAGATCATGTTTTTAACTTGCGCAGCAAAAGGAATAGGCTACGTGTCTGTGGTAGGAGGCTTGATGGAATGATCTAGTAGAGCCATGCAAAATAGAAAAGAAGAAAAAGGTGACTTATGGCAGGTATACAAAGTGTAATTCTTGAAGGGTAGATCACTTCAATGCGATGTCGTGAATCCGGTCAGACAAGAAGTGAGGTCTCTGAGCTTCAGTTTCCCCGAACACCCTAATGCAAGTGGTCGTTGGCAGCCCAGACGATTGGGTCAACTTTTGTGCTACCAGTTTCCACAACCTAAAAGTAGCCCATTCAGGGGCCAGCGTCTGACAGTCGATTAACAGCGACTTGCCAGCCCCATTGCTCCTGGGAGCGCTCCATTACCTCGTGGAGTCCGGAGCCGGGTGGGTGAGGCGGGGGTCTGCCAGGCTCGTGGCGGTTGTGCCGGCTCCGCCGCGCAAAGCTCGTTCCCGCGCTGCAGCCGCCATCTTGTGGGCAGAGCGCGGCACTGCACCGCCTGCCCTAGTGCGGGGCGGAGCGCTGCCTGGGCACGGCCGGCCTCTCTTCTCCGAAACTGCCCTCCTGTCAGTGAACTCGCTGCTCTTCAATTATTTGCGGAGCAGTTTAGCATGTCTTTGAGTGAATTTTGCAGTGAAGGAGTCGAGCACGTTACAAGGATTACTTTCTCCATTGCTACATTTGCTGAACTTCATAAACATTTTGTCCAAATCCAGACAAAATTAGTTTGATTGAAAATAAAATCCAGGATGAAGCCTTAGATTTTGGGGTGCTGAAGTTGTATAGAAATAATAGAAAGCAAGTAGTTCCTCTCTGCAAGTAAATTCTTCAGGCAGCAAGATACGCAAGGATACTGCTTGTCGGTTGCCAGGAGTAGCTGTTAAGTTTTAGCATGTAGAATCAGCATTTTCTGTAAACAGTGTCATTTTGATAAATAGCAAAGATGATCTGTCTTACTATGTTTTCTCAGGTTATTTTTTCGTCTTTACTGAGGACTGACTCCTTTTTTTGGAGGAGTATTGTCTTATTCAAGTTCCTGTAATGATTTTCATTCATAACCAAATAATGGGGAAGCTAGGCCTTGAATGTTAATTTATTGGGTTTTTTCCTGCTCTGTCCTGCTTGTTTTTGATTTGTAATGGCTTGCAGACTACAATCTGGTATTTCATGAATCATTCACAGTTGCAGATTAAAGGTTAGGAAACAGTAATAACAATTTCTATTAAAGTTGTATTAATTATATGTATTTATATTAAATCTTACTCTATAAATGTTATTCACATCATCTTCTCTTACACCTATTGCTTTATGGCTATGGTGGCCAAAACTTACTCATCTCATCATTGGCAAGGAACAAATAACAGGAAGATACTTCAAAGCCAACCAGATTGCTTTGTTTTTCGCTTATTTATGAGGTTTTAAATTACAGTTAAAAACTTCCAGCTCTGTCCTCATTTTTCTTTTTATTTCTTTCCCCCCCCCCCCAGTAGTTAGGCTTAACACTTCTGTTTCCCAAAAACTGCTTGTTTGTAAGGGTTTAATTTAAATCTCTGATTCACCAGGTTCTGGGCCTGCTGGTAGGATGGGGTCCTGCTCTTGGTTGTGTGGTCTCACCTCACTGATAAGTGCCAGAGCCAGTTCAGGAAAGCAGTAAGAGCATGTGGTCTGGAGTGAAAAGATGAGATCTGTGGGACCTTTCTCCTTTAGCAGTAACAAATACTAATATTTCTTTGTCCAGTTTCAACTGGTTACATCTTGAGAGTTCAACATAGCCTGATGTGAATATAAGATAAGAGTTTAAAAGTTTTCACAACTTTCTCTTCTGTGCTGTCTTAATGTTTATCTTCCTCATAGATACTCAGATTGCCTGAAACTTTTTTCAGTTAAGCACAAAAGATTAGAAAATTGATTTACCTGATAAAGAAGTTGATGTGAGATTGCTGGACGGATTTTGGTAACAAATTGCAACACTTTTCACAAAGCAACTAGAATTCAGAGGTCAGGCTGACTGCTAAACATCTTTCTTTCTGTTTCTAAGATCACTTACCACCTGCAAAATTCTAGGTTTTACTGACCAGATGTTGGTCAGAGATTTTATTGGTTGCAATTAGATTGTTGCAAAGTTAATGTGTTCTAGCAGGCAGTAGCAAATCCTTAGCTCCATGTCAGCTACCTAATCAGCAACATTATTATTAGTGATGGTCAGACTTCTCCAGACTGTGACATGAATTTCAGTAAAAGCATTTCTCTCACTTTCCATCTATCTCAGACATTTTGTACAAAAAAAAGTTTATGCTCTGGCAACAAGAGTTTCAAAATGGGGTTTTTCATTCCCTTTCTCTTACTCCCCCTGCTCCCTGCTGCTTTTTAAAAAAAAAAATGCTGAATCAGGCAGGATAAAATCTTGGCAGATGATACTTTTTTCCTTGCTGGTTTTATTTATTTATTTATTTATTTCACTTTAAACTTATCTGTTTCTTACCGTTACTTTTATTCAACAACCTCGTTTCTTTGGGGAAGGAAGCCAGAATAAGAGGCACAGAGCACACATCAGTGGTTAAAGTAATTGGACTGAAATTCTGTCCCTACCTGCATACAGTTCTGGCTCTGAGTACAGACAGTTTGAAGATTTGAAGAGTCTTGGATTTCTCTGTTTTGTTCTCTGGCATATACGCTCTTTTTCTCTTTGGTCATTTTTTAAAAAATCTGAAGTTTGCTGTATATTATGGGGAATTGTTACAGCTTGTGGTTATAGCAATTAAACATCTGTTTTGTTGACTCTCTGGAGACACCATCTATTATGTGGCTGCCCACCATGATGTGGGGTTAAGGTCAACTTCCTATCCTGTATTACTGTGCAAGAAGGGTTTTAAATAGTGAGTGACGTAGGAGATGAGACTGGTCCATTCAGTTCTTTAATATGGGAGTCTACTAAATAGGTCATTACAATTAGAATTTTTGCTAAAAGTTACCCTTACAGTATAAAATCATCGTTGTTTATTCTGTTTGTGAAATGGAACATGTACTATATGCAAGCAGAATTTGTCTTTTTATTTCTTTCTTTTACTAATGAATGTGGATGGTGATGGATCTTTCTTTTTAAAAATTCTGAAATAAAGCATTCTATTAACTGCATATCTATATATCTGCTCAGAATTTCCTGTAATCAAAATAAAGTGCATTAGTAAGGAACAGTGCCATCATTTTTTTAGATAACAAAGCATATGTCCAAAGAGAGAAGAATTTTGTCTGTTCCTTCATTCATTAAACCTTAAAGACTATGCTAATTAAAACAACATACCTGAGTTAAAAGTGATAGTTTCCGTAAAACATGGTTTGTCTCAGATGTGTTGTGTACACATAAGCGGGGGTCTTGGTTGCCTTTTTTTGGTGTGTTTATTCTTCTTTGTTTAGACTGGTTACAGGTTGCTTCTCAGTCCTATGTCGTGTGTTGGGTTAATAGATAAGAAAAATCAATTTTCTGTTCCTTACTTGTAGTTTTCATCATGGTACTGCCCCAGGTAGCTGTACTGTTTCCATTGAGGCATAAGTGTGGACCAGTCAGAATGTGATGGGTATTTACTGACTTCGTAAATTGTAATGAAAGTAGTTTCTTATCTCTCAGTCTTGAAATACAAGCATATCTTTAGATTTGTGTTCTATCTTTAGAAAGATCTGAGGTTGCAGTGTTGCTGTCTGGCCACCAGATAGAGACTGAAGCTTGTGCAATAGGATTTTTCTTTTTCTTTCCTTTTTTTTTTTTTTTTTTTAAATTTTTTTATTTTTTATTTTGCCCCTCTTGTGGTTGAGCATACTTTGAAGCCAAGAGAGAAATCAGCATTACTCCAGTGATAAAGAATTGGAGATTGTTACTGTATAAAATGGGTAATGAGCATTTTGTTCTATAGTCTTCCATTGTCAGGAAGAAGGGAACACGATTCTCCAAAAGGATCTTGGAAAAAGAAGAGAATGTTACAGATTTTGCAATATAACAGGAGGAGGAAGAAAAGGGCATTTATTTCTCCTCTCCCACACAAAACTTTGAACCCAAGATAGCAAAACAATACCTGTTAAAAAGTTCATACAGGTTAATGTGTGTCCTCAGAAATGTGTGACTGTCTAAATGCACAATTAAAAGCACAATTTTCAAATAAGGTACCAACTGCAAACAACATAGGGGTAGTCTGCAGAATTTTAATTATTTATTAGGGAACAGCAACAAATCAGATTCCCCACCCCCACCCTGGGCTGCTTATTTCAGAGTTGAAATTAGAAGGTTGGGTTTTTTTTTTAAGTAAGTAAGCAAATTTGAGTTATAAAATAGAAAATAAACATGAATACTTGTCCTACAAATTCCCTTTTCAAATTACAGCTACCTTGTATGTGAAAGTTGAGCTGAACTATAGAGTTCTTCCACACAGACTCTTGCATCATGTTTCAGAAACATTCCCTAATCAAAAAGACCACAAATCATCAGTCGTACAGGAGGGTAAAAATGTTGTGTGGGCATATTTGGAGTGGTATGCATCAAACCTTTGAATTGCTGTTTGTCAGGAGCCTTCAGCTCCCCTGAGTTTGGTACCTGTTGGGAGTCCCAGCCTCACACAGATGCAATAAGCTTACCTGAGGTGTCTTTGCCTTTTCCTGCTCTCTAACTCTTGCTTGTTCACATTCTGTCTTGTTCTCTTGCTCTTTTCCCCTGCTGTGAGGTCTGCGCATCTGCGGGAGGAAAGCGAGAGCTTAACTTCCTAGTATGGTTGCTTGGGTACCTGAGTTTAGGTCCAATTTCAGAAACACAAACTCTCTTTATTACTTCTGTTTGTGAGAACTTTTGGGGGTTACCTCAACATGATTTTAAAAATTTGGTCATTGAGGGGAAAAAAAAAAAAAGGAACTACTTGCACAGCCACCATACTTTAAAAAATGGAGGACCAGTTATGCTTTTCCAGTTTATTTATAAGATCAACAATACTGATACAAAAATCAGTTTCATTATTTTTATTGATGACTTAAGCTCTTTCCCCAGCTCTGCAAGAGGTGCGTATTAGTTTAGCTGTAGCAGGAGGCATACGATGAGATTAAGCACTTGGAAGTGAGGAGAGTTCAGAGCCTAAGCATGTTTGATGGCATGAGATGAAATAATGAGAGATGAGAGTTGTAGACTGAGTGTGGTGGTGCTCGGTCACCTAACCCTCTTAATAATGAATAAGGAAGTAGAAGCAGCTTTAACCTACATGAAACAAGCTTTTCTGCAGTTACTTAAACTTGCCCTGTGGTTTTCTGTCATTGGGAAGAGAAAGAATAGAGAGAGTCAGACTAGGCGACCGGTAACACCAGCCTCACCACTCTCTCTCTCCTAGCTCCCTATGTGACACTCTCACTGAGACAGAAGTTTCCAGAGCTTGTCTGGCGGTACAGTTGTGCTGTTAACTAAGTGTCTGCTGAGCAGGTAGTCAGCTTTAGCCACATGAAATGGTTTGTGACTTTGTTTTTTCTTCCTTCTCTTTACTGGGGATACTACTCTTCTACTAAGCTTTCCAACTGGAACTTTATCTTCTGAGATTCCAAACAAATCTTAAGGAGGTATTGAAGTTAATCGGTAGATCTGGAATTTATATGGTGTATATGTGCAAAGGAAAAGAGGCACACATAGGTCTTGTTTTCCTCAGGAAACCAATTAAAAAAATGGCCTGCTGTTGAAGATGGTTTTGTTCTAAATGTTGTCAATTTCAGGAAACACAAATGAGGAAAATAACTACCTTTTCATGGACATTGTTTTAAAACTTTGAAAGTAGGTATGATGTTCATTGTGCATGCCACAGATTTCTTTTGATTTTCTTTAGGTTTTAGACTCAGGCCTGGATATTATAAAGCATGGTAGACCTGAGGGTTTTTTAAATTTGGAATTTAATACAGTTTAAATGTGGCAAACTGCCACAGTTCTCCAGTGTTTCTCCAGTAATTATTGTTAACTTCCATTTGTGGTTCTAATGCAGCTAGAAATTAAATACTGTTACAGTTCATGTTATCAGTCATGAGGTAGAATAGTAATATTAGCAAGAATCTTGGTTGTCAAAGGAGCTGTATTTTTAACTGAGGGGAAAACTGTTTATTGGCATTAAGCCTGTTAGGCATAATGGAGGTAGGAGGAGAGGTAGGAATCTTGGGGGTTTTGTTTGTTTGTTTTTTTTAATTAATTAAATGTATTAAAATTTTGATTCCTTTTTAAAAAACGTCAGCTAAAGAAAACAATGTTTCAATGAAATAACTAATTTCTATGAGGAATGTCACATTTTGGTGTAATAATTACATAGCTTGCTTTCTGAGTCATGATATGGTTATATTACAGAGGCGGATGCCCCAAACTTTCCGTGATCCAGCCACTGCTCCATTGAGGAAACTCTCCGTAGATTTGATCAAAACATACAAGCATATTAATGAGGTAATGTCTCCAGCTATCATTGTAATGGGTATTGATGTAAAGTTTTTGTATACATACGATAAAGTATATTTTCTATGAATAATCTAGTGAAGAGAGAAGAAAAATCAATCTTTCTCTCTTGCTCACCTCTCATTTGAGATCGTTGCTGTCATGGTCCTGCTTTCTGTCCAGCACATGGGAAATTTTTTATCCTGAAATTTATTTTCTGTTGTTTTATAAACAAATGTTGAGCTTTGGTGTTGCATGATAATGAAATATGAGTGGCACAAACATTCTTTTAGATCATGCTATAAACTTTTCTGAATGTGTCTAAGGACTTTTAAGTAAAATAGTAGAGTGTTTTCCCTAAATTACTTGACTGAATGTTATTGACAAATGTAAAATATAAAAAATATATGGTTAATATAGGAAGGCATCGGTTAAGTTTCTGACTCTTCGGCAATTGTAGGGAATGCAAAGGGATTTCTGCCGTCATTACTGATTTCCTTGGAATTCTTCTTTTCCAGTCTTTTGGAAAGAGCAACTGATAACTCTTGTTTCCAGGCTTGTTGTGTGTATAGTGTACTGTGATGTGTCTTTTCTTTTTGCACCCATGAACTCAAGGGATCAGTGTTATTAGTAAATTGATGTAGATCTGCTTTCTGAGTTTTAAATTACTCATCAAGACTTTGCTTTGGTATAATGACTTTAGAGTGATAGCAAGAGAGGGTTGTTTATTTTTTCCGGTAGTAGAAGTTGCATTTTAAAATCACAGGATTAGGTATCATGATTATAAAAGTTGATTCTGTTTTTACTGAACTGATGTTCTAAAAAGTGCTCTTAAGCAATATACTTTCCACGTTTAGGTTTACTATGCAAAAAAAAAACGGCGGCATCAGCAGGGCCAAGGAGATGATTCCAGTCACAAAAAGGAGAGAAAAGTTTACAATGATGGCTATGATGATGACAACTATGACTATATTGTAAAAAATGGGGAGAAGTGGATGGATCGTTACGAAATTGACTCTTTAATAGGCAAAGGATCCTTTGGACAGGTAATGTATATCAGCTGAGCAACCTATCATGTGACTCATGATATGCATTTCATTTGAAGTGTTATTCCTGTTCCATTTTAGAATTAAACTCTTTTTTCTTAATCTGTTGTACTGAGTGCCTGCTCAAGACACTTACGTTTTGTTCTGTTTCTTGTTACTACAGATAACATTTGAATATACCTCCGTATGTAGATCTGGTAAAGCATTTTTCAATGAGCAGATGCTCAGTGTTTTGCTATCTGCACAGTTTTAGCTGTTTGGCTTGGGTTTCTAAAATAAAACAATAGCCTAGTGCTAGGGAATACCTATTACAAATGCTACTTAGTAACATTTGTTTTTACTGTTCACAGCTGTAGCCAAGGCCTGAGAAAAAGGCTGGAAGGAGGATGGAGCTTTTCTTCAGTTGTTTTTGTTAGTTTTTCTCAGATTTTGCCAGTCATTTTACAGTATTGTTTTTGATTGTTTTAGATTGTTTTGATAATTGCATTTTGGATATAATACTTGCCTTAGGGAAGCCTCAGTGAAGCTCAGTGGAGTCATAGTTCTGTTTTGTGACTCACTGTAATGAATGTCACATGATAAATAGTATCAAGTAGGAAAAGAAATTTAACTGAAAAGAACAAAACTTCTTTAAATGTTTTCTCTGAATTCTGAATGTAAAGAAAGTTTTAAAAGTGAGTTTTGATGTATTTTGAAAACTCCAGATGATTTACTGATGTATTTGACTTTTTCAGGTTGTAAAGGCTTATGATCGAGTGGAACAAGAGTGGGTGGCTATCAAAATAATAAAAAACAAGAAGGCTTTCTTGAACCAAGCCCAGATTGAAGTGCGGCTGCTTGAGCTTATGAACAAACATGATACTGAGATGAAGTACTATATAGGTATTTGAATAGTTATTCTTCATTTTCATTAAATCAAAATTATGAATATTTTAGATCTTGGTATATACCATAGGATGCTTCTGGTGCTAAAGAAATGAAAAGAATAATACAGCTTTAAAAATTATTATTTAGTGCAAATTTTTCAGTTTGCTTTGCAACAGGACAGGATCCAGAAGAAGAATATATAAAATTATTTGGGATAACAGGCTTGTTACTTTGTAGTATTGTGATAATTTGTAGAATTTTCTTTTTCCAGTTAATGACACAGACACCTGAAGAAGTTGCTATGCACCAAGTTTTCCACAAAAGCTGTATTCTGTAGCAGTTCGCATCTCTTTCACTACTTTGAACATATCATAAATTATCTCAGAACTGTCATGGATAAGATCATGCGTACTTATTGTAAACCAGCATCATACAGTAGTTTTATGGCTTGCTTGATCATTATTTTTTGATCGTGTGTGTTTTTAAATCTCAAAATTTTGTTTAACAAAACTGAGATAAGATTTGTGTAGATGTTGACCATTTGTGTAGACTTGCCCATTTATAGCTCAGAAAATACTTTAAAGCTTATAATTTTGAAGGTTCCTGTAGATTGGAATGCTGTCACCTTTATTATTATAACGCTACTTGAACTTCGTAATAATGATGAAATTAATTCAGCTCGTGTAAAAAATTTGTTAAATCCTGTCTGTCCTCTGGAGTGGACAATTGAGCAAAAAGATGATGAAGGGAAAGCCAACAGCATGTTGTAAACAGAGATGGAGAAGTATGAGAAAAAGTAATTAAGCAAGATTAAACTTCAAGATTTAAGCATCCTTTTGTTTGTAGAAGCTGAAATACTAATAGCTGTGCTTTTCTGATTTGCATGTATATATTGGATTACTAATTTTTCAGTAGTTGAGAAAGAAACCTTTGAAATAATGTTAATGTACATTGATACTAAATTATCTGATGAGTATTCAGTTACATTTTAACTTGTTTTATAGAAGTTATCTTTAGAATACATTTTATGTATTCAGTGTAAAAATTTTAAAGGTATTTTTAACTTAAATTTATTAATAACATGTTTACATAAAACAAAAACTAAACTTGACAGCATACTGTGTCAGAAAGATGTCTCAGGAACATTGAAGACATGACCAGTTTGATTAATACGTAGCAAATAAAGACAATACTGGCATCATCGAATAAACTTTTGGAATTTTAAATAAAATTAAATTGACTAAAACATTATATAATATCCCCCTGTGAGTTAAGACAGGATGGCTTTATATAGAGAGCAATGCTGAAACAAAAAAAAAAAGAAAAATAAGTTCTGATAATTTTGAACAATGGTGAAATAATATGTACTGTCTTTGATTAGGCAGCTGATTTTAGGCTTGTTTCAAGCTGATTTCCAAATCTATTAGGGTATATTTGAATAGTTAACACAGTATTTAATGAACATGACAGCATCAATAAGGATCAAAAATCCCGAATAGATAATGTTTTGGATGAAAATCTTGTATTGCATGCTGTGCAAAAACTTACCATGGAAAACTGAGATCTCTAGGCACTTCACTGATAAGTATTTCTAAGTGTAGGAACAGTTGCTTATGAACATACTTCTCCAACAAGCCTTAATTGAAGCATTCAGCATATTCATGTAAAAAGTAAGTTGTCTGTAGGACATGTGGACAATTTACCCTTACATAGACTTACAGATATACAAGCTGAGTATAGTTGAAGGCGGCATTCAAGTATTACAATATACTGTGTTATGTAAAATGTATACTTCAGGGGGAACGTGGTTAAATAAACTGTAGCCTGATTAAGGACATAAAGTTTAACTGTTTATGCTTCTGTCAGATCTCCTCTAGTACCTTCACATCTTCTGTCTGGTCTCCTTCAGATCTAACACAAGCATAAAAATGCATTAAGGCCTTCAAGTTCTGTGAAAATTGGTGGTAGAGTGGAGGAGAAATATTCAAATGTCATGTCATCACTGAAGGATAGATGTGTCAAGTTCAGCCGTTATAAACTCTTAGAGCTGTGTGGTGGTTGCACGTGGTGCTGGTTGGCCAGCAGCATGCTGGTAGTTACAAATCAGTTGGAGTAGGTGGCGTTCCCTGCCAAGTTGACGGGTGCAGCAAGCTTAGTGGAGGAACTGGAGTCAAATGTAGGAAGTCCCCAAGGACGTGAAAAGGTACTGGTGCTTTTATGGTGGGAGAATAGTGGAAATATGGCAAAGGTGAGAAAATATGAAAGGTCTAGACAATGATGTACTGCAGAAAGTGGCATCAAGGTGGAAGCATATGGTCTTAGTTACAGGTAAGTCCTAGGGACACATGAAGAACTGTCATAATAATGGAGGAAAAAAAATCTGTAGGACACCAAGTAATGACCTTAATTGAAAGTCTTGAATTCTCATTGTGCTAATATTGGTTCAAGATTTTATTAGGACAAAAAGGAGAGTGTGGTGCTTTTTATATGAGGGCTGAAGTATTTTTTGTATTTCAGTTTTCTTTTACTTACAATAACCAACCTGAATGATTGACAGATTGGTAAATCCTGCTTGCCTTTAAAAAGATTAACGTGATGAATTTTTCACCTATTTCATGAAAAAAATTGATTGGATTTGGACCGGATTGGTTGCTTTCATAAATCAAGATTATGCCTGATTGAAATTAATATAATGTCTTTGGGATATTGATCAGTTTTATTAATTGAAGTAATCAACTGAAGTCACATAAATTGCAGTAAAGTCTTAGTATATTTTAAATTAATCTGACAGCCAAATATTTTCTCTGTCAATGTAAGGGAAATTCCTAAAAAATACTTCAGTCTAAAGTCCGGTATTTGTTTTACTGTTGAGAATGCTGCTGTATGTGCACTTTTCTAATCTGCTAGGACTCAAATACAATTTTAGCTTTAGGAGGGTGGAGAAAATTAACTTTCCCCTGAAAAAGATCAAGTGTTGCGACAAAGATTGTATTACACAGTTTGGGCTTCTTGTCTTTTTTGCTGTTATTTTTATTTACCCACAAATGTGTTTGCTGATAGGGAAGTGATAGCTTATTTTGAAAAAATACCTCTTCTATCTTTTAAATAATTTAATTATAGCTTTACCGAGGTACACCTGAGGACACTTCAGATGTATAAAATGTCCCCCCGTACCCTAGACATGCAGCAATATTCTGTAAATAACCATAGACCTAGGAAAAAAAACACTGTAGTATCTTACTCATAGGTCAGCTTCCCACATATAGATTATAATATTTCAGCATTGTGTTGCAATTAGTATTTAATAATTACTACACAGGATATGTGTTAATTATTTTCTTCCCCTTTTTTAAAGTGCATTTGAAGCGCCACTTCATGTTCCGAAACCATCTCTGCTTAGTCTTTGAAATGCTGTCCTACAATCTGTATGATCTATTGCGGAACACCAACTTCAGAGGCGTCTCATTGAACCTGACACGAAAATTTGCACAGCAGATGTGCACTGCACTGCTTTTTCTGGCGACTCCTGAACTTAGTATCATTCACTGTGACCTAAAACCTGAGAATATCCTGCTCTGTAACCCCAAACGAAGCGCTATCAAGATTGTTGATTTTGGCAGTTCATGTCAACTTGGACAGAGGGTGAGTATTAGTAAAAATTCTGGTTATGCTACTGTTGGATACATATGAAAAAATATGTTTAAGTCATAATAGCTAGATATCGAAATTAAACTTTATTAATGATGACTTAATTGAAATAGTAACTAATGTTTACATAGGGTGTTAGACATCAGTAGTCAGTAGGAGCTTTAAACATGAATTTTAGTGCCGTAGTAAATAAACTTTCACCATAGTGATAAACTTTCCATCTTTTTTTCTCCTTGGTTATGTTTTTACACTGTGTTAATGCAGAATGCATCAGCACTTGACTGTGGAAGTCTGCAGTGCTATTAAATAAAACATTCTTTTATTATTTTATTATTCCATATGTATTACTCCTTCGACTTCAGCATGTCCCCTATTTAGTGTGCTTTAAAGATAAGATGTTTGAGGGTTGAGACAGTCCAATAACTGGCTTTTAAAGGTACTGGTTATAACTAACCCATTTTTACAAACAACTGCGGAAAACTGTGGAAAATACTAAACTGAGGTTGGGGTGGGGTTGTTTCTTTTTTTTAATATGCTTATGTTTAAGCCAGTCTCCAGGTTTAGAATCAGGATAGAATTATCTGTTTTATGAAATGAACAGGATAGTTAGGAGTGGATGGAGGTTGCTTTTTTCCCATGTGTTGTTTTCTAGTTCCTGGAATCACCTGTTAATTTCATCTTGTTTGCTCATGTCATAATTGTGGCTTTTGATCCTTTACTATTAGTTTTGTCTGAGGTGTTAGTGATTCCGATGTGTCTTGTGATACCAGACTAAAATTTTGTGACCTGATTACCTGTAATTGGCATGAGATTACACTCATCAACCCTAAAGTGTAAATTACTGACATGTGAATCTGCACTTTGTCTTTTTTTTTTTTTTGAGAGAGAGTGTGAATGCTAATATTTTCTTAAGAATTAACGTTTACATATTTTTATTAATGTAATGTATAGATGATTTTAAGTATCACTGATACCTTGGCTTTTCTTAGACCAAAAATGTGTTTCATGGTAGTTCTGTTTTGTAATATGGAATCATAATAGTGCTCTTTGGATGCTGTGTATTACTTTTAGATGCTTTTATTTCAGATATACCAATATATCCAGAGTCGTTTTTATCGATCACCAGAGGTGCTACTGGGAATGCCTTATGATCTTGCAATTGATATGTGGTCCCTTGGGTGTATTTTAGTTGAGATGCACACTGGAGAGCCTCTTTTTAGTGGGGCAAATGAGGTATGCAGCTATATTACAGTACAAGTAATTTGATTCTTATTTTTGTTGTTGTTCGTTCTCATCATGATTTTCATCTGTTTAATTGTAGTACATAAATTAGGGAAGTCTAATAATTCTAAAATGAATAAACATCAATGATAGCAATGGCTTTTGTCAGAACTCTAAATTGCTTATTAATAATTTTCTGTTTCTGGGTGCTCCTTCTTACTCCTTATTCATTAATTTGTACACATTGGATTTTTCGTACAGTTAATTTAGAACTTGTCTGGGTAGTTAACATTTGCTTCACATGTGACTGGAATCTCACTCTGTCATACTGCTTAGCTGTCTGTCACATGTTTTTCGCAAATATTCTTTGTAACAGGTGGATCAAATGAATAAAATAGTGGAAGTTTTGGGGATACCACCTACCCATATCCTTGACCAAGCACCAAAAGCAAGAAAGTTCTTTGAGAAGTTGCCAGATGGCACTTGGAACTTGAAGAAGACCAAAGATGGAAAAAGGGTATGATGATGATACAGGCTGTTTCTTTTTAATAAATAAATAAAAAAATTTAAAAATTGGTGAGATGTTACTTTATTTTACATCTTCCCTTACTGAAAATATAGCTTTTGTGTTGTCTATTATTGTTGCATGTTGTAAGACAGATTGATTAAATAACACTTTCTGTAGTGTTGAAGAATTTTTTATTTGACTGACTTCGTTTTATGGCATGTTTAAACTGTGCACATCCAAGGCTTAATACTTACTTGATCTCAAGCAATTTCAAACTTTCCAACAGGAATACAAACCACCCGGAACTCGTAAACTTCACAATATACTGGGAGTTGAAACAGGAGGACCAGGTGGACGTCGTGCTGGGGAATCGGGTCATACTGTAGCTGACTACTTGAAGTTCAAAGACCTCATCTTAAGGATGCTTGATTATGACCCTAAGACACGAATTCAACCTTATTATGCCCTACAGCATAGTTTCTTTAAGAAAACAGCAGACGAAGGTACAAACACAAGTAACAGTGTGTCTACGAGTCCTGCCATGGAGCAGTCACAGTCTTCAGGAACCACCTCTAGTACATCTTCAAGCTCAGGTAAATTTTCCTCATTAACAGATAACAAAATTGCTTTTCCTAATCACATCAAAATGTGATTATCGTAGGTCTTGCATTTTTACCTTCAAGCAGTTTAAATATCTTCATGCTGATTGTTTTACAGCTTACTTTAAATTTTATGTCTCTAGTTATGCATGTTATGATTTTATAGGTGGATCTTCTGGAACAAGCAACAGTGGAAGGGCACGGTCAGACCCCACACACCAGCATCGACATAGTGGTGGACACTTCACTGCTGCTGTTCAAGCTATGGACTGTGAAACACACAGCCCACAGGTATGCATAAGTGTAGAGTTTTTGTCTGTTTGATAGATATGAATTTTCTGAGAATATTAAGTCATTTTAAGGCTGAAGTGGTTTAGACCTGGAACTAGCCATCACATTTGGTTTATTTTTTACCCCCAGCTCTTGCATTGTGTCCCTTTGTATGTTAGGTCAGTCACTTAGCCAAAAGTTACTACAGGTGCCTGTAAAAATTTCCATAAGTTCTGCAGAGGTGAAGGTTTCATATTAGTAGTAGCAATAAGTCAGGTGGATCTGTCAGTGCTTCACCTTACACAGCACGTTAGGGTACACACAACTATGCATCTTCTAGTCCAGTGAAGAACTAGCTTGTACTTCAGAGGACTCCGGCTGGAGTTCTTACTTCCATTCTATGGTGTTCAGGTACTTCAACATTATCATTGATGAATAAGTGTTTATTCAATACTACTTGGAAAGAAGCAATGACTCATTTATTAAGTACAAATAATTCAGTAAGATTTTTATTTTAGTACAAAACAGATAAAAACATAAATTCTCCTCAGTAGACAATTTAGTTTATGCAGCAAATTGGCATGTAGCTAGATCTTGCTAATTTAGGAATCTTTAATTAGCTGTGTTCTTCCAGAGGTGTGGGTAGTACTCCTCTAATGCTGTTGACACCACTCAAGATACAAACTAAAACATACTAATTTAGTTTAATATGCTTATTGTTTCCAGAGGCCTGAGTCAGAGATCGGGACCTGATTGTTATAGGTGTTGTACAAACATTATGTTGTTTATTACTGCTATTACATAAAGCTGCTTCTATCATCTTGACAGTAAGGTCACATATTGTGCTTACTTAAACTGTTTGAAAAAAGCATCTAGAATGTGAACTCATTTTTCTTAAGATACATTTAGAAAAGTGTATTAGAAATGTTTCTTAACTACATGCTTACATTTCTAGAATAATTTTGTAACTGCAAGGTTTGGTTAACTTTTTAAAAAGTTAGCATAAGTATTAACTTAATCTCACATATTGCAAGTGGACAGATTTGCATTTTAATTTTTATTTTGCTTATTAACATAGGTTCGACAACAGTTTCCTCCTCCAATTGGTTGGACAGCCACTGAGGCTCCTACACAGGTCACTGTTGAAAACCATCCAGTTCAAGAAACCACCTTCCATGTAACCCCTCAACAACAGAATGCATTACATCATCATCATGGAAATAGCTCTCACCACCACCACCACCATCACCACCACCACCACCATCATGGACAGCAAGCCTTGGGTAGCCGGACCAGGCCGAGAGTCTACAATTCTCCAACAAACAGCTCCTCCACCCAGGATTCTATGGAGGTGGGCCACAGTCACCACTCCATGACATCCCTGTCTTCCTCAACTACTTCTTCTTCTACATCTTCCTCCTCTACTGGTAACCAAGGCAATCAGGCCTATCAGAACCGCCCAGTGGCTGCTAATACTTTGGACTTTGGACAAAATGGAGCTATGGACATGAATTTAACAGTCTACTCTAATCCGCGCCAAGAAACTGGCATAGCTGGACACCCAACATACCAGTTTTCTGCTAATACAGGTCCTGCTCATTACATGACTGAAGGACACCTTGCAATGAGGCAAGGAATTGATAGAGAAGAGTCTCCCATGACAGGAGTTTGTGTTCAGCAAAGTCCTGTGGCTAGCTCGTGATTAAACTGAAACTAAGTTTGTTTCTTGTGTGTTTTTATAGAAGTGGTGTTTTTCCAAAAACAAAGTGCAAAGCTGCTTGAATCAGAAGGAGATAAACTCACTGAACCGCTACAGGAGGGCAAAGCTGACTATTTTTTTAAACTTGAAAAGATTGCAAAGGGACAATGAAGGGTTTTTTTGTTGTTTTGGGGGGTGGGGTGGGGTGTTTGGTTGGTTGGTTGGTTTTGTTTTGTTTTGGGTTTTTTTTTAAGAGCCATGTCTGGACCCACCTTAACGGATAGCTTAGTGGTGTTCACCTTTTGCTTCCCCCATTTTAACTTGCCACAACCTAGTCATAGTTTGTTTTTTTGGGGGGAGGGATTGTTTTTTTTTTTGTCTCATTCAACAGGGGTTATTGTTCAAATGTTAGTTGTAGTTGCAAACTAGTTTCTTTTTAAAGGCATTGCACATGATTTATAAAAGGGCCCTTTGAAGTTCTTGGGTGGGAGGGGAGTGAGTAATATATATATATATTTTTTTTAGTTCCCCAAACAAACATGGGCACAGAAATGCAGTACTGTAAGAAAGAGGGACCTTCAGATTACACAAATATATATTCTTCAGCTGTAAAAAGGGACGGTTGTATGGAGTTTGTAAGGCACATTAAGCATGCTAAGTGGCGGTGATCAGAACTCTCCTTTTCTGAATCTACTGAGGATCAAAGCAGCAATTGTAATGGGATTCTGTGGGTCTCATACTTTGGAGCCCACAGTCAGTTAGTATTGAAATATGACTGGTTTCATAACTGAGGTGCACTGAGAAGCAATCAACGGGTCGGTCCTGGCCAGTCCTGGGGAGGTCTAAGTGGTGGTCTTTGGGATAACCTTTGGCCTTATGGATTTGGACTCTTAAGTTAGAAGAGCCTACCATTTCAGATGCAATCACTTTTGGACATGCTTTTGCAGACAGTCCTTAATGCTGAAAACACAGAGAATGGGTAATTCAAGAGGCCTTTCTTTTAAAATAGACTTTTGTGACCCACTTATTGTAAGGTATTGCAAGGTCACTTTGCGTGTGTCATAAAGTTGACTTCCTTATTGGTTGAAGGTCACAGGAGTAGTGGTTTGCGTTTGATGGAAATAGCTACAACTGTGTCCCTTCCTGCTTTTTACTTTTTTCTTTTGCTTTTTCTCGGCACGTGGTTTCTCCACCATTACTTCTGCACAAAGACGTCTTCTGTTCATCCTGAACATTTTTAAAAATGCAGAATTTTATGTGACTGCTTTTTTGCCTCACAATTATGCTGTGAATTTTACAAAAATTTATTTTCTTTTTTGATAATTTATTGTACCAAAGCTGTTTTTATAGCACATAGATGTCTGTAACCAATAATGTAGCAGTTCTGCACTTTGACACAAGGTGTAACTAGACCATTTTTAAATGTCAGTTGAAAATTATGGCTGTACTATTGCTTAAACAAAACTGGAACTGTTGTTGAATTCATAGCCAATACATTTACAGCAATCTGTGTACTGAACATAATAGATTGACATCTACTTCGAGACTTTAACATCTGTTACATTATAAATGTGTTCAGGCTTCTGAAGGTAAAAGGGACACTAGATCCAGAAGCTATGAAACCAGCAGTTGATTCTTGTATTCCTTATTAACATAATTGTAAACTTGAAGGCAAGACCTTGATTGCATGAACAGGTCCAAAATAATAGTCTGAGTAAAGCAAAACACTCACATGAGACCTGAAGTTAGCAGGCTGTATTTAACAGGTGCCTAATTTTTGGGTAATGCTGCCTTAATATAACACAGTCAGCTTGGCAGTTGCAAAATTTATGGGCCCATTCAGAGATTTGTTTATATGAAAAGTAAAAGCACCGTGAAAAACATTTGAAAGAATAAGGGTGACTCATTGATTGCCCATCCCAGATTAACATTGTTTGCCCATTATATATTACAGAAGCAGTGATCTACCTCTGCCAGTAAGCCCTTTTAAAAGTTAATTTAGCAGAAAATCCAGAGTTTATACTGGTCAATTCCATGTGGCTAAGTCATTTTTTCAGACTAAAAGGTGGAATTTTTTATACTTACAGTGGCAACGCAGCAGCTGACTACCATATAAATGGGAATGAATACTTGGGATTACCAGTTTTTTGTAAACCATGGGTTTTTTTAATCAAGTGATCCATATTTCTTTTATATTGACACGTCAACCCTGTGGATGAAAGTGGGGGTTTTTTCTGTTTTCTTTTTGGTTTTATTTTTAAACTCAGTAATTCAGAGAAGTTTACAAGGATTTGGAAGGGTGTCACCTTAGAAACGGGATGCTGAGTTTAGCAATATAAAAAGGAATATAAGGGTAATACGAAATCTGGGTAATTTTTGTGTGCGCGGGTTGCCACACCTTAGCAAGCACCAAAAAGTAAAGCAGTTTAAAAAAAAAATTACATAAAGAAGAAATCATAAAATCCAGTGCTTCTGCATACTGTGTTATGTTACAGTCCAGTTTTGTGTGCTTTACTACACAGTTTGGTTACAGGACTTCTGTGCATTGTAAACATAAACAGCATGGAAAAGGTTAAATACCTGTGTTCAGATTGTAAGATCTAGTCCGGACTTGCTGTGTATATTGTAACGTTAAATGAAAAGACAAGCCCTTTGTATTATAGTCATGCAGTCTTATGTATGATAAACAGTTGAATAATTTGTCCTCAGACTCTTTACTGTGCTTTTTAAAAAAAGAGTAATTTAAGAAAAAATGTAAACATAGTAAATCTTCCTATGCAATTAACCTACTTCAAGCCATGGTATGGTAGGTATAATTATACTATAATATGTAAATATCAGATACATTGAAACAGACTTAAAAATATGAAAGTAAAAGTTGGAGGCATAACAGATAATTTTGAGTTTTTAATTGAAACAGCAAGGTATACAAAATCACTGATGTATGAACTCAGCTCTGCTTGATTCTGATGGACTGTACTTGTAGTTTGAGTTCTTTATATTATCATCTGTTAGTTTGAATGTTCTTATATGCACTGCAGCTTTCTACCTATTACAGACTAGCTGATTTTAAGGCCAGAAGTGACCATGGTAATGAAATAATCTGACTGGCATGCCGTTATCCCTAGAATTCAGTCTAGCTATTTCTGCACCGTGAAGTCCGTATCTTTTGGGTGCAGTAGAACCTACTTTTGAAAAAGATAGCTGATTTTCATATAGATTATTCAAGTGTGAGGATTTTTCCGTGTCTCTTGAGTGATTCAGCTAGTTTATTTTCCATACTCTTAGTCCTCCTTCAGTTTTAGGACTGTTTAGTTACAGCTGCTGGCCATCGGATAGCTAGCTGCCTATTAGAATAACAAATAACTACTCTAGTTTTAAACTATTTCACTTTATTCACATAAAAGTATGTTAATTTTAATAACCTATATAGATGGAGTTCCTTAAATCTCTTAACTGTAAAGCTTTTACGGCTCTTCTGAAACTTCAGATGTTTTAAAATCCATTCTAAAGCGTGGACTTGAGAACTGCATACAGCATCTGATAGCATTTTCAATATTGCTGTGTGCGTGTAGTATGTGCAGGTACATTCTTGAACCTTTCAGTTTATATCTTCGCTTGTTTGTTTATACCTCCAAGGATTGCATTTTTAAATCTTTCAGTCTCAGTTATTTGCATTAAAAGATTGTAAATTTAGATGATTATCCATCATGATTCCTAAGTCCTTTTCAGAACTGCTGCTCTTCCAGGATGTAGTCTTCCATCCTGTAAGTATAATGATGTCTGAACGGGACTGGTTTACAGAAGGGTTGGATTCACCTATAGGTGTGACTTGTCTTCATTGTTTATCACTCTACCATCGTTATTTTCATTAAACCATCAATGTGCTTATATCTTAGTCTTGGTAACTGAAAAATCTTAAATACCTTGGAAGATAATTTCTGTTGAAACCCATCAGAAACATCCTTTTTTAATGAGGAAGTAATCTATAACTCTAACCTGATGCAGTATGGTGAATATGTTGTGTTGATTTGTTCTATATTTCAATAAGATCATTATATGGAACTTCTGAATAGTATGGAAATATCTTTCTACTCAAAATTACACAAGCAACTCAGAGTTATTGCTGAGTGTTGATCTCATGAGGACAGTTTGTATATAGCATGACTTTGGCAAGTGATTTATTTTACTGAGAAGGATGGCTGTTGGAATTGCACAGTATCTTACATCTGTCAAGCAAAGAAAGATGCCTTGCCAAATTGTAGTTTTCTGTGATATATCCCTGGTTTTGTGGGGTTTTTCAGAAGCAACCTCATGTTGAAAAGCTTGCAATCGATATTTATTTCTCCACTTCATAATGATAGTTGAACTATTTTTTCCTTATTGATTAAGATGCCTTGGTTTTATTTCAACAGTTCTCCATATTAGCCCTGTCAAATATATATGATCTGCCTAGACCCGAAAGGATTTGTAGTTTCTGTTGTTTATTGTGTTTTATGCTAGTAGTTACAGAACATCACAGAGTTCAAATACAGGACAGTCGCTGTGACTATTCTTTGAAGGCCTGAATGATACAAGAATGTGATACACTTCATAAAGACAGATGTGGTAGTTAAAATTTTAAACTTCAGGTTCCTGTGCTGAATGGCAGAGAGAAAATATAATTAACTTCAAGCAATGTTCATAGATTCTAGTGGGAAAGTGAGGATAGATCTAGGGGATAAGGGCTGGAATTGGAAGAATGTTCTGTGTGGGAGTCTGTCTAATGTGAATAATGGCATAGGGAGCGGAGAGAAATACCCTAAGCTGGAGAGGGATGGTGCAGACCTTAATGAGACTGAGAAAATGTTTATGTGGTCCTGGTCCTAGGAAAGCATGTGAGGGAAACTAAATTAAAAGCTTCATGGCCATGTTGAATGAGGCTTAACAGTTCTGCTTTAGTGGAAAGTACGTTTTTCACAGAAGGTTGCATTCCAGTAATTGACATGTCTAGAGTGTAGCTGCCTGTCTTGTTTCAAGGTAGACTTGAATCCAAACTATCAAGTGTCAAGACTTGGGTCACATCTGGAAGTGTGCAAGAGAGCAGAAATGAAAGTTGGGATGGTTTTACTGCAGTTTCGAAAGGCTAAATTGAAAAAGGAGGATTTGTTTTCAGACAGCAGACCAAACGAGCATATGCGGGCGAGATCAGACTGACAGAAGCAGCAGTAATGGATAAAGTGGATTGTCAGCATGTAGGCAACTGAAGGGATTTTAATTTATTTACTGACTAGGGTTGAGATGGATAGATTAAAAGGGACTGAAAGCAGAGCCTAGTGAGACCTTAAAAGAGGCAAACCAACATGTAAATTAAGTTTTAGAACTGTAGGAATAAAAAACCGCCAAAACCCAAGCAGTGTATTTTATTGAGTGATTATCTATTAAAAATTGTTACATGTGTTTAGTAGGATTACAATGGAAACAAGATTGACCAAAGACATCCTTAAAAAAAATTGCTGCCATGGACTAGAAAGGACACAGGTTCTATATATCCTGGAAGATGTTCTATTGTGGATTCATCTTAGGTCCTAATTCCTAAGGCAGAACAGAAGTTCCTCTGTTTTACACAAGCAATTATTTCCTCAGTGAACAACAGTGAAAAGTATCCCAGGTAAATAATGATAAACAGTGTCACAGTGAAAAGCTGCTAAACCTCAAATAGAAAATGAGCATGTAAGGAAAACAGCCCCAGTATTTTCAGTCTAAATAACAAAAAGCATCAGCTATATTTTGAAAATTAAGGCTAGTAACATTCTTTTCAGACAGAACTACCATTATTGTAAAAACATCATAATTCCTTTCAGGAGGAGTGTATGGACCAGATTTGTCTTTCTAAAAGAAATCCTAATAATCCTTAAGAGCATATGCATCCTGGGCTGAGGCGAGTTGGTCTCAATTTCAGTGGAGTCAATACTGAGAAACTCGCAGGTAGATCATGCTTTTTGGACAACAGAATGTAATGTGGCTTAAGGTAAACAAGGCAATGCAACTAAACTGTAGTACACTGGAATTTTCTTCTATTTCCTGTAAGTCTTCGCAAGAGGCATTTCTCATCTCTGGTAAGTTTTGCAGTCCAGCTCTTAGTCTCCAAGTACTCCATAGGAACAGCTTCAACAGGAATTTCTGCTTCCCCCTGCTCCAGACTTCATCGTCCAGAAATACAGTTGTCATGATGCCTTGGCATATGTTTTGGATACAAGGGTATTGTGTTTTCTAGAACGCTGTGTCTTACATGTCAAATTTAGTTTAAAGCTGTTCAGTTACCAAAGTACAAAAATGTTTTGATGTTTTGCTCCCATTGTTTTGCATGCAAATGGACAAATCTCATGCGATTGTGTACTGTAAGGCAGCGTTGCAGTGGTTCCTAGAAACATGTTGGTCTCCAATATTAATGCTTTTATAATATATGCAATGTTAGCTTGAATACATTAAGTCATTTAGATTCTTCGTTGCTGCAATGTCCTGGTAGAGCCTATCATGAAAACTTTCTAGGAAGGCATCGTTTTGCCAGTGGAGCAACAGATGAGCAGTTTTATCCCTTCTAGAAAGAAAAAGTTGAGTGTAAAGGACTGCTTAATTTTTTTTAGATCATGTATGAGTTGCTGTTTACGATTTGTACACATACCAACATTTTAATTCAAAGCATTTATTTGTTAAAGGGTGTTGAAAGTTGGTATGTTTGACTGTAGGACATGCTGCTTGTCTTGACATGTTTGCACTGCATTTACCATTAATTTTTCTGCATAGTGTCAGCCAGTTCTTGCTGCTTAAGGCAATGGTATGGCAGTAATTTATAATTTTGAAGATCTAGCTTAGTAGCTTGCTTCTGGGTTTTTTGAAAAGAACTCTGGCTTCCCTACTGCTGTGCTGACTTTTTGCAGTGTGCATATAAAGAAAGTTGACTTAAATTTCAAGACAATCCAGAGATTGCTGCCTAAAAAATTAACTGCAAGATATGAGGATAGAGTTAAAAACATTGTTTCTAAAATCCAGTTTTATGTGGTCATCACAGAGATGAGTCCTGTTGCACTAATTTATGAATCTCTCTTGCAAAATCCCATGGATTTTAAGAATTTATTGAAATTCAGATTTTACAGGTATTCCATATAGTCTTGAGTAATAAGAACAGTAGCATAGATAAGACAATAAAAATTAATAACCAAATCAACCTCCTGTTGGTTTCCCCGTGAGAAGTGGGAGGGAAGGAGATTTGACAGTTGTTGACTGTGAAAGACAGTTAGTTGGTTAGTGATTGGAAAATTATATAGGAGAAAATAAAAACTGAGTTTGTTCTAAAGAAACTAATTGAAGATACCAAGCGGAAAACCTCTCCACTCGGACTTCTTCACAATCTCTCGTCCCCCTCACCAGTAGAACTCTTTTCTGTACCAACTGCTCTGGTGTTCCAAAGTGATTACTTTTCTTCAGATTCTCCTGCCAACCTGTGGCTCATTTAGGGCTCCCTTCATGACTTCTTCCCAGCATCAAATGTCAACAGTTGATAGATCAAGTTAAATCACTTTGAGACTGCAAGGATGGTGACGAAGGGCTGTGGTTTTTTACCTAAAGCAGGAAGAACGGCTAGTCCTGAATGGAGCACATTCTGAACTATACTGCATTTTCAGTGCAACAAACCCTTTCATAATTTGCACTCGAAGGAAACTCCATTTGGAGTTAAGAATGAGCTGAGGGAATTTAGTTTTCGAAGCTTCAGTCTCACTTGGCATCTTTCCCAGTACGGGGCTAGTGCAGTTTAGTACCAGTGGGATTTCTCCTCTTTGCCACAACGTGCCAGAGCACTCGTGCATTTTTCTTTTAATCTGAATGGGTCTCTTGCCCATACAAAATGTTTGCCTTGTGTATGAGGAATTTTTACCACTTTTTTTGTACACTAGCTAAGTTAGTATTTCAAGAAAAATGCTGTACATAATTTTATTCTATATGGGAACAACCCACTTTATTATACTCTTCTCTATCTTTGCCATCTCACATCAGTCTGGATGTGAACTTCAGTACGTAGAGTTAATAGTATCTGATGTAATTACAAGAGACATTTGCTCTGTAAACAAAACATGCTACCAGTAGAAATACTGCAGTGGCAGTGCTGTGAAATAAGGTGTGTCCATAGAGGTCACGTTGATATTGTGACAGTGTGAAGGTCTGTGTCCTGATGTAACCTCAGTGACCTGGGAAGACAAATCCAGGAATCTAGGGAGCCAGAGCTTTGAAAATCAGAAATGTCCTATTAGGAGTTCTTTTATGGGGACAATGAGAAATGTCTGTGTGAAGAAGAAAAAAAAAAAAAAATGTCAAACACAGTAACTTGGGCTAAAATAATTTTAACACTCTTCATTTTCAGCAAAAACTGTAGTTCATTTCCCTCTTCAAAAACAATAAATGCATGGCCTTTCTGCCCCTCTCCAAGTTCCTGTCCTTTCTCACTTCTTCCTGCTCCCCTACCCTTCCCTTCTTTACACTCTGACACCTCCCCACTTCCCTACACTTTTCTCCTTTTGCTTTTCTCCCCTTTTCCCATCTTTCAGCCTTTTATTCCCTGATTTTTTTGTTTCCCTGTTGTTTTTTTGTCTGTCTTTTCCCTGCTTTCTTCTTGGCGACTTTTCAAATCTTTCTTTCCTTTTCCTGCTTGTTCTTTTCCTGTCTTGTCCTGCTTGTCTTCCCTGCATTTGTTTTCATGCCTGCTCTTCCTGCCATGCTTTCCCTGTTTGCCTTGCTTCCCCCACCCCCTTCTTT